ATGGCCATGTCCTGACACGTCCTGACACGTGCCATGGCCATGTCCTGCGACGTCCTGGCACGTCCTGACTCGTGCCATGGCCATGTCAGCGACGTCCTGACACATCCTGACACGTGCCATGGTCGTGTCCTGCGCCGTCCTGACATGTCCTGACACGTACCATGGCCATGTCCTGCCATGTCCTTCCCCGTCCTGATATGTCCTGACACGTGCCATAGCCATGTCCTGCCCCGTGCCATGGCCATGTCCTGACACGTGCCATGGCCATGTCCTGCGACGTCCTGACTCGTGCCATGGCCATGGCCATGTCCTGCGACGTCCTGACACGTCCTGGCACGTCCTGACTCGTGACATGGCCATGTCCAGCGACGTCCTAACATGTGCCATGGCCGTGCCCTGCGCCGTCCTGACATGTTTTGACACGTGCCATGGCCATGTCCTGCCATGTCCTGCGACGTCCTGACACGTCCTGACTCGTGCCATGGCCATGTCCTGCCACGTCCTGACATGTGCCATGTCCTGATACGTCCTAACTCTTGCCATGGACATGTCCTGACTCGTCCTGACTCTTGTCATGGCCATGTCCTGCGACTTCCTGACACGTCCTGACTCGTGCCATGGTCATGTCANGCCATGTCCTGACACGTCCTGACACGTGTCATGGCCATGTCCTGCGACTTCCTGACACGTCCTGACTCGTGCCATGGTCATGTCATGCGACGTCCTGACACGTGCCATGTCCATGTCCTGACACGTGCCCGCCATGTCCTGTCATGTCCTATGACACATCCTGCCCCGTGCCATGTCCACGCCGGCATAGGCCTTGGCCTCTCAAGTGACACCCCGAAAAACCTCTACTTGCGACATAGAATTGGCACATCGCTCTTGGCTTGTGCCTTGGCCTCGCACCGCGACGCCTCAAAAAACCTCTAATTGACATCTTGTATTAGCATATCACCCTTGGAATATGCCTCGGCCTCGCAAGCAACACACCGAAAAACCTCTACTTGGGCCAAACACACTTGGCATAGGGCTCGGCATCGCAAGCGACACACCGAAAACCTCTAGTAGTGAAATTTGGTTTAACCTTTCCCTCAACATGACTAAGTGTCAAGTCACATTGGCTACTTAATATACAAATAGTATATGTTCCAAGGTCTTGAGGACTTGTTCGATTTTCCAACACTTAGTATAATATAGCAACATCAAGGAAGGACTAAACCTCTTTTGGGAAAAGTTAGAAATTGATTGGATTGGAGGGGGAGGGACGAATCTGAGCGACAAAGGGCTGAATCTCAGTGGATCGTGGCAGCAAGGCCACTCTGCCACTTACAATACCCCATCACATCTTTGTTCTCTCTCCCTCAAAATATATTTAATGTTTCACTTTCAATTTGATTTTTGAGTGCGACTGCTTTTAATAACCATGTGAAAGAGCAAAACTTCTGCATATCACATGGACCGAATAAAGGGACTCCATTATTGCTTGACAAGTCCATTCATGGACCTATTTTCCCGTCTAAAGAACCAAAAAGTTATTCCTTTAATAACACATTTTTTTAGTGTACGCTAAAAATTATGGCTTCCAGAAGTGAAAAACTGTTTTTGCTTATCCTCAAAAGTAATTTTTTATTTTGGCCAAACATACTCCCTCCGTTCCATTTTATGTGAATATGTTTGATTGGGCACGAAATTTAATAAAAAATGAAGACTTTTGGAATTTGTATTCCTAAACAAGTCCAAATGGGGCCCAGAGTATTTGTGTGATTATAAAAGCTTCTCATTAAGGGTAGAGTTGTAACTTTAAGCTAAATTGTTACCAAATTTAGAAAGGGTTCATTCTTTTTGGAACGGACAAAAAAGGAAATAGGTTCACATAAATGGGAACATAGGGAGTATCAAACTTTCCAAAAATTCCCAGAAGCTTGACCAAACAGGCTTTAAAACGAGTATTATATATTGATGGGAACCACAAATAGTGTCATCCACTGCTTGCTAATATTCTTATGTGCTACTCCCTCCGTTTCATATTAGATGAGGTAGTTTAACTCGGCACGGAGTTTAAGGAACAAAAAGAAGACTTTTGAAACTTGTGGTCTTAAAAGTTTAAGGGGTAAAAAGTTTGTGGCGCCATGACATTTGTGTGGCTATAAAAGCTTATCATTAAGGTTAAATGGGTAAAATAAAAAAGTTTAAAGTTGAATTATTTTTAAATTTAAAAATGTGTCATTTGTTTTGGAACAGACTAAAAAGGAAAGTATCTCATCTAATATAAAACAGAGGGAGTACATGGTTTGTAAGATGAAAGAATGAAAAAGCTGATGATGCAGAAAAATTTTCTCTTGTTTTGTATATTCACTACTGTAGCTTCTATATACATTTATAGCCTATAGATACATATAATGTACATATAATATTCCTAGACAAAAATATTATAGCCTATGTGAGTCCATACACACTTTAGTGCATCAGCACTAATACAAATGTGAGCATGTGCTCACTCAAGTGTATGGCACTAATAAATGAATGGCCCAGATGTGTTTATGTCTTCTAATCCAACGGTCAAGATTAGATCTCCTGATTTGAATACCAAGGGCTATTATGCTGCCACGTCATGCTCCACTTTGATTGAATCATCTGCCTGAAGCAAATGTAACGCTGTTGTCTTCTTCTTCTTTGCTTCTTCTGCTACAGTGGTATCATGGGGGTTCTGTTCTTCAACATCCCCCCTCAAGGTGGAGGGGAGAGAATGGACCCCTAGCTTGGATAAAATACTCTGATGAGAACCCCCGGATAAGGGTATGGTAAATAGATCGGCGAGCTGAGATTCCGACGGAACAAAAGAGAGAGAGATCAAACCGGAAAGAAATTGTTGACGAACAAAGTGACAATCCAACTCCACATGTTTGGTTCGTTCATGAAAAACTAGGTTACGAGCTATGTGAATGGCAGCTTGGCTATCCGAGTGAACAGGCACTGGTAAAGTGGGTGGTGCTGATAGATCGGCAAGTAAGCGGACTAACCAAGTGATTTCTGCGGTCACCCTTCTCATAGACTTGTATTCCGCTTCTGCGGAGGACATAGAGATGGAGATTTGTTTCTTCGATTTCCAAGAGATTGGAGCTCCACCAAGGGTGATGAAGAAGCTACTAACAGATCGGCGAGAATCTCTACAAGCCGCCCAGTCTGCATTACAAAAGGCGAGTAGATAAAAAGAGGGATCTGCAGTGAGAAAAATCCCTTAAGAAGGATCAGTGCGCAAATAGCGGAGAACACACAAAGCTGCAGAATAATGAGACATGCAAGGACGTTGCATATACTGGCTCAAACAAAGAACAGCGAAATAGAGGTCCGACCTAGTATTTGTTAAGTAGTTGAGCTTTCCAACAAGGTGGCGATAAATGGTAGGATCAGGCATAAGCTCTCCCATATCAGCTTGCAATTTAGAGTAAGGATCGAGAGGTGAAGATACAGCAGGACCTGTGCAGTCAAATTCAACCAAAAGTTCCAAGGTAAATTGCCTTTGCCCTATTATAAAACCATGCTTTTCTCTGAGAATTTCCATACCCAAGAAATGATGAATGTGACCAAGATGTTTTACTTTGAATTCTGAGTGTAGAAAAGCTGTAAGTTGTGCAATTTCTGTGGTGTCATTACCTGTGAGTAGTATATCGTCCACATATACAACTAATATGGAAATTAAATCACCTGATTGCTTGAAAAACAATGAATAGTCATTTAGAGAGCTGGAGTAACCTTTGTAGTTTAGAGCCCCAGCTAACCTAGCATACCATTGCCCCGACGCTTGCTTTAAACCATAGAGTGACTTCCTTAGTCGACAGACAAGATTAGGTTGAGAAGGAGTCAAACCTGCTGGAATTTCATATAGACCTCTTCTTGCAAATCCTCATGCAAGAAGGCATTATTAACATCGAGTTGTGATACATTCCACCCCTTCTTGATAGCCACAGCCAAAAGACACCTGATAGTAGTCATCTTTACCACAGGTGAAAAAGTTTCTGAATAATCTATCCCTTCTCTCTGAATGTCTCCCCTCACCACCAACCTAGCCTTTATCCTTTCAATTGTACCATCTGAGTTATGCTTCACCTTGTACACCCATTTACAGGGTAAAGCTTTCTTCCCTGGTGGAAAGGATACAACATCCCAAGTGTTATTTATCTCAAGTGCTGAAATTTCAGCATCCATAGCCTTTTTCCACCCAGGATGGATAGAAGCTTGTAGATAACTGCTAGGTTCTGATGTGGTAGAAATAGATTGAAGGAGATGATGGTTGTCTATAGAAAGAGCATGGAAAGAAAAGGCATTTGGCTTGAGAGGTTTGGATAGACAGGAACTAAGGTCGGATAGGTAGATGTTATTGCAAATGTAATCATTTAAGTAGGCTTGTTTCTGAGTTACCCTGTCAGATATTCTGACTGGTGGAGGTGGAATTAGAATAGGTGTGCTGATTGATGAAGGAGAAAATGATCCGGACAGGATGGGTGAGTAAGAAGGACATGGAGTAGGAGCAGAGTCTGAAGGTGTTAGGTTGATGTTGGTTGAAATAGAGGGACCAGGACATGTAGAAGAACTGCTAGGTGAGGAGTGGGTAGATGGAGGTGAAGGCGATGGTAGAGATATCCTAGAAGAGTATTCTGTTGAGTTATGGGGCAAGGTATCTGTTGGAATTGTATCTTGAGGGAAGAAAGGAAAATCAGATGTGAGAGGTGAGTGGGAAAAAGGGAATTGATCTTCATGAAACCTAACATCTCTAGACACAAACACCCTTTTAGTGACAAGATCCAGGACCTTGTAACCTTTCTGATGCTGGCATATCCGAGGAACACACAACCTTTTGCCCTAGGTTCAAACTTCCCTCTGTTGTGAGACAAAGCTGAGACATAGTACAAACAACCAAAACTCTTGAGTGAATCATAGCTAGGTTGTGTACCAAGCAATACCTCATAGGGTGTTAATCCATTCAGAACCTTAGAAGGGATTCTGTTGATCAGATATGTAGCTGTCAGCACACATTCTCCCCAGTATTGGAGAGGCACCTTAGAGTGAAATAAACGTTCCCTTGCTACTTCCAAAAGATGCCTATGCTTCCTCTCAACTACTCCATTCTGTTGAGGGGTAAAAACACAAGAGGTCTCATGTATAATCCCTTCTGATTCAAGAAAACTTGCCTAGTGAGCCTTTTCCTAATTCCATGGCATTATCAGATCTGATCTTCTTAACTTTCAAGTTAAACTGTCTCTCTGCCATGCATAGAAATGATTTCAAAACTGAAAAAACATTCCCCTTAGAACTTAAGAGAAAGGTCCAAGTGGCCCTACTATAGTCATCTACAATAGTCAAGAAATACATATAACCATTATAAGTCACAGTCTTGAATGGCCCCCATGTGTCAATGTGAATCAAATCAAAGATAGCAGAACTCTTAATATGACTCAAAGGAAAAGGTAGTCTGGTTTGCCTAACTTGAGGACAGATGTGACACACACAATCAAACTTAGAGGTAAACTTAATGAAATTCAGATTTCTCATTACTGAAAAGAGCAAATGCCCTAGCCTAACATGCCATTGCTTTACAGTAGATGTAGCGATAGCAACTAAAGGTACTGAAAAGGAAACAGAAGTAGAAATAACACTGGAATTTCTTCCTTTTGGAATGGAAACAACATTTTTTCTAAGAGGAGAGATAGACTCTATTCTAGTTGGCTGAAACAGGTACAATCCATCTCTAACTTCACCAAAAACTTGTCCCATCCCTACTAAAGGGACCTACAATAGACACCCATTAGAAGTTAGATTCAAAGAACAATTGAATTGAAGACATAACTTATGAACAGATAATAAGTTATACTTGAAAGAAGGTACATGAAGCACCCTATGAAGAACCATATCAGGCTGAATAGACACACTTCCTATATGTGTAACACACAACTGGAATGAATTAGGTAAGCTAATGTGCAAAGGTGCAGGAAGAGGAGTAAGAGATAGGAAAGAATTAGCATCAAAACACATATGTTCAGAGGCCCCTGAGTCAATTATCCATGTTTTAGTGTTGAAAACAGCAAGACAAGTTCCTGTGTATTTGAGTATGGTAACAGCTACAGCATTAGCATTGATTTCTAATGTTGTGGCTGCTGCACTTCCAATCTGCACTTGCTTGATTATGTTTACCAATTCTGACCCTTGCTCCTTACTGAAAAACTGGTTCTGACTGCTGATATTTCCTTCACTACATGTGTTGTTCTTCTCTTCACCTTCCTGTCCTGCCACCACTGCATTTCCTTTTATGGCAGACTGATAATTTGTTGATTTTATGAATTGAAAATCATCTAGGAATCCTATTAGTCTGTAGCAATCTGCCCTTACATGCCATGTTCTCATACAATGACTACAACTCACATTAGGATTGTACTTTGCCTTCTTTTTGAACTTTTGTTGCATGTTCTGAATGTTCCCCTGTTTCTGAGGAGTTCCCCATGATTTCTGAATATTGTTCCTTTGATTAAACTTCCCTTGAGGTCCTACCATAAAAGATGCACCATCTGTTGGATATTGTGGGCTAACAAATATTTCCCTCTGACTTTCATCTTGCAGCAGGATGGAATAGGTATGATCCATATTTGGAAGCGGGCTCATCACGAGGATATTGCATCTTGCATGTGCATACACATCATTCAGTCCCATTAGGAATTGGATGACTCTCTGATCCTCTAGGAAGTTGGCTACCTTCTTCTTCCCTTCACACACACAGGTACAAGTGCAACCTAGATGTGAGTTCAGGGAATCTAACTCATCCCATAACCTTTTCAGAGTTGTGAAGTATCCTGCAATACTGCTATTTCCCTGAACTGTCTTAGCAATTTCCTTTTGTAGGTGGTAGAGTTTGGCTCCATTGGATTATCCAAATCTATGTTCAAGACTATTCCAAAGTTTTTTTGCAGATTTGGAATAGATTACATTGTCTCCTATCTCCTTAGTTAGAGAATTTAAAAGCCATGAGGTTACCATGTCATTGCACCTACTCCATTGTGCATGATCCTTTGAATCTAAGGCAGGTTCATCACAAATCTCATTGATGAACGTCAGCTTGTTTTTGGCTGACAATACAATCAGTATTGACCTTCTCCATCCTGAGAATCCTCTTCCATCAAAAGGTGAGGTCACAAGAGTCATCCTAGGAGCATCTGAAGAGTGAAGAAAATAGGGATGGTTGACATCATGATTGGCTGCTTGACTTGTTCATCCAGAAAGAGAAGTGTTACTGAAGAATCTGTTCCAGTCATGGTGATAGAACAAGTTGAGGAATAGGAAGAAGATTAGAAGATGAAGTTCAAGGATAGAGCAGAGATCTGCTCTGATACCATGAAAGAATGAAAGAGCTGATGATGCAGAAAAATTTTCTCTTGTTTTGTATATTCACTACTGTAGCTTCTATATACATCTATAGCCTATAGATACATAGAATGTACATATAATATTCCTAGACAAAAATATCTTTTACTATGTGAGTCCATACTCACTTTAGTGCATCAACACTAATACAAATGTGAGCATGTGCTCACTCATGTGTATGGCACTAATAAATGAATGGCCCAAATGTGTTTATGTCTTCTAATCCAACGGTCAAGATTAGATCTCCTGATTTGAATATCAAGGGCTATTATGCTGCCACGTCATGCTCCACTTTGATTGAATCATCTGCCTGAAGCAAATGTAACGTTGTTGTCTTCTTCTTCTTTGCTTCTTCTGCTACAGTGGTATCATGGGGGTTTTGTTCTTCAACATAAGAAATATTAAATTGCCGGTGGCTTGGCCGGTGAACATTACATAATAAGAATATAAAAAGACCGTTTGAATAATTCTGGACGCGAAGTCAAGTAAGAAATTTTATATAGACATAATACATAAACAAGCCCTCAAACTTGGCTGCGGCAGGCAAATATGCTCTCAACTGTCAGTATGCACTAGCGGGCACCACAACTATAGTAGAAATAATTAATATGATTTGGAAATTATACTTTCTTAGTTTTAAATTAGACGAGGTACTTCCTTTTTAGTGTGTTTCAAAATAAATGACACATTTCTAAATTTGAAAATAATTCAACTTTAAACTCTTCATTTTACCTATTTTACTCTCAGTAAGAAGTTTTTATAATCACACAAATATCATAGTCCTACAAAGCTTTTACCTTTTAAAACCACAAGTTTCAAAGTTATTTTTTTCTTTAAATTCCGTCGAGTCAAACTAACTCATCTAAATTGAAACGGATCGAGTAGTAGCAAGCGAAGATGTGGTTGCACCTATATATTCTCTCCATTTAAGTAGATTGTTGCTTAATTACTAAAAAAAAATGGCAGATGTAGCACTGCAATTTGTAGTGGAGACCCTGGTGCCGATTATAATTGAAAATTGGAAGATAATTGGTGGCGCAAAAGAAGATCCTGCACAACTGTTGGGAGAGCTTAATCGGTTAAAGGCCTTTCTAAAGGATGCTGCAACATACCGTCAAAGCAACAGCGAACAGTGGAAATACTTTATCAAAGAAGTTCAAGTTATGGTATATAAAGCTGAGGGTCTTATTGATAAGCTCCTGGTTGAGGAGAAGCTGCACCAAGAGAAAAATATAATTATGCAAAACTTGGATGCTAAATATGCCAAAAAAGCACGGGATCTTGCAAAAGAGATTAGAGACGCCCTTGAACAGGTGAAGAAGATTCGCCAACAAAATCCAGAGGCGTTTCAGGCTAAGCCAATGCTTGATGATCAGCCAGAAATTGTTGCCCCGGGGCCACAGGTATGTATAAAATTTTATCCCAATGATTTGGTCTGTACCTCATACAAAGTAAGGGTAAGGTCTGCGTATACTCTAACCTCCCTGACCGTACTTGTGGAATCATGTTGTTGTTGTTGTTGATCTCAATGGTAGTGGCCGTACTTGTGGAATCATGTTGTTGTTGTTGTTGATCTCAATGGTAGTTATATGTGATTGTCAGCCTATTTTACATTTTCTTTATAACTTTACTTTAAATATATATTTAAAGCACATAGTATTAAAATTATAATAATCAAATAAAAAATAGTACCTTTTTGTCATTTCAGATTATGTGAAAACAATTTTCTTTTTAGTTTATTCCAAAAAGAATAACATGTTTATAGTTGGAAACAATTAACAGAAGTAGACACACAAAAGTTATACTAGCATATTTAAAACAACAAATTGGAAAAGTCTTTATGTTTTCTTCTTTAAAATTAAAAAATTTAAGATTGGAAAAAGAAGAAAATTCTAATCCATTTTGATCGTCTTTAATTAACAGGATACTTTGTTGGAAGAAAATGAAGTTGTCGGCTTTGACGAGGAAGCGAAAATAGTGATCGAACGACTTGCTGAAGGAACAGATGATTTAGATGTTATCCCTGTGGTAGGATTAGCTGGACTTGGCAAAACCACACTGGCAATAAAAATCTATAATGATCCTAAGATTTGCTATGAATTTTTCAAGACCATTTGGGTTTACGTAGGACCACAACAATACAAACCAAAGGAGGTGTTTCTTAGTATACTGGAAGGGTTCACGAAACGCACGACAGAATATCAACATATGGCTGTCAGTGACTTGACAAACATAATACGTGAATTCATTTTAAAAGGAGGTAAATGTCTCATTGTGTTGGACGATGTGTGGGCGACAGACGTTGTGGATTCTGTGATGAAAGTTTTCCCGGAAATCAGCAATGGCCATCGAATCATGTTCACCACTCGTGACTTGCGTATTGGTAGATATGCCAATCCTGATCCTCACTCATTGAAATTTCTGACGGACAAGGAAAGTTTCCAACTGTTGGAAAAAAGAGTTTTTGGCAGTAATATTAGAAAGTGCCCTGAAGATTTAATAGCACATGGAGAAAGTATTGCTAACCAATGTAGTGGATTGCCACTTGCTGTAGTGGTAATTGCAGGAGCTCTAAAAGGACGTACAAGC